TAGCTTAAGACCTCTGAAATCTAATAAAAACTGTTTTTCTTTGTATCTAGAATACATGTTGAAACATGGGTAATGGAATGAGTCTAACAAATGCTGAAAAACAGAAAATAACAAAGTTATTGAGTGAGGAAATCTCCACATTGAAGCTATCAAAGGAGCTTTGCAGAGATCATCAAACGATAAAGAAGGTTGCTGAAAATACAAGTAGTGAACTCAAAGCAAAGAAAAAGGCTATATGAATTTGCTTCCTCAAGATGAACATAAACTAAAATGAGTTATAGCAAAACAACCACCTTTTACCAGCAATCAGATATTTGAAAAAACTGGAATTGAGGGAGTCAAGAAGGACAAAAGGTGTAGAATACTTTGTGAATTAGGATCTAAGAAATAATTTCTGAGGCAACCTCGTCTCACTAAAGCAAATATTTTAAAGCATTAAAATTGTGACAGTAAATACATGAAAATTGATTTTTCTAAAGTAATTTTCATGAACAAATCTCAAGTGACATTTGATGGAACTGGTGAATGGGTCAAAGGATGGAATTTGCCTAAAAGAAGGCAACAGGGAAGCAGTAGTGTTATGATATGGGCTGGAATTGTCAACCAAACCATTATTGGACCCTACAAAATCGATGAAGGAGGTAAATTGAACAGTGCTAACTATTGCGATTTTATGAACAAGACTTTCTTTGTATGCTACACGTCACAGTTTCAAAGTGAAGTGTGTATTTATGCACAACAATGCTCTTTCACAGGTATCTAAGCTTACCCCTGAATTCTTTGAGCATAATAGATTTACAGGGGGGAAGATAATAGAATGTCCACCATCAAGTCCTGATCTGAATCCAATCTATGGTCAATTGTGAAGCTGAAATTATATGACGGTGGCAAACAATATAATAACAAAGCAGACCTATGGGAAGCAATTAAAACTACCGTGTCACAAATTGAACCTGCTGAAGTAAAAAAAATAATAACAAAATCAATGAATAATAGAATACTGGCTGTTATTGAGAATAAGGGTTACTATATTAAAATGTAAAAGATTCAAAGACTTTTATTGTGTGTGTGTGTGTGTGCGCGTATATATATATATATGTGTGTGTGTATATATATGTGTGTGTGTGTGTGTGTACTTCTACCTCAGAGCCCTTAGGATATGTAGCCTGGAATACCTAAATGAAGAAGAGAAATGTATTAACTTCTCCACTACCCACATCATTTTATCCTTAATGCTAAAAAACAGGCTTACAAAATCCACAAAGACAAAAAAAAACAGATACCACCAATAACACTTCTAACAAAATGTTATGGAGTGGTTTCATAGTGGAGGCTTGTATTTGTACTAAGTCGGTCCTAAAATAGGTTCAACGAACAAAACATTAGGAACTTCATATAATAGGTATGACGCAGAGAAATCTAGTCGTGGTCGCTGATACTTTAGTATCTGACTCATGGTCGTCCAGCATCGACTGACTGAACAACTCACCGAGCGACCTCTCGTTACTATTACTACTCCTACTTATTATAGGTGGGAGAGTCTATTAACTAAAGAATAGGTGTGTTCCACTATAACATAAAAATTACACAAAATTCATAATCCTGCCCTTCAACACTCTTTCTACTAAACTCACAAATTAGTCATCCCTAATACTAGGATTGTTACCACCACCTCCAAGATAATCGGAGATATAAATAGGAAGACAAATAAACCCAACACCAATACAAATGCTGAAATTTATCAAATAAATTGTTTACAATGCAAAAATGTTTATGTTGGGGAGACATCATATGATCTAAAAGCTCACATCTACAAACACAAGAGAGACTTGCATTTGGGCAAAGGATCTAACTCTCTTGTTTTGTATTGAAATGATGCTGGACATAACTTTGTTTTCAATAATGCCACCCTAATTTTAAAAAAAACATCATTTTTTAAAGATTATAACACCTTTTGCTGCTGCCTACACCTATATTAAGGAAAAAAATATCTTCATGGCAAAAAATAAAACAAGAGATTCACAGTGTTAATCTTAAATTGGTTTATATAGCTCTTGGTACAACAAAAATTAACTCTTCCCATGTCAATCTCTATAGTGACATTGGGCCATGTCTAAACTTCTTGAGGAGCTGGGTTCAAAGACTTGGAATCGGGAAATCTGGTGGCAGCTGACATGGATTTCAGAGGCACTTAATATGGGTCCTCAGCCCAAAGTCTTTGAACTCCCCAAAGTCATCTGCTTATATGCACTTTGGCCCAAAACTATCCACCTTCCTTGGGAAGAGTCACAGTGGTTGCTTCTCCCTTAACTCCAACCTGCTTCACTTCATATTTTGTACTTCTACTCCGCACAAGCAGGGCTAAATTCTCCTTCCTTCTCAGTATTCTAACTCTGCCCACTTCTCAGGGCTGGCATAACTGTGTAATTTTTAGAGTGCATAAGAGAAAGGGTGGGGTTTATTCTCCTCATTAATTTCAATTCTCTGGCTCCTTTCCTGGATGCACTTGTCCAACAAGAACAAAAACCAGCTCACCTTCTCATTTTAACCTTCCAAGCAATAGATAAAAATTATTTTCCAATTTTTCATCAATGAAAATAGATATGTTTACCTAAATCCTCAACAAAGAGACATACTGTTTTCCATCCTTGAGCCAGTCGCCATCTTAGTGAAAATATAAAACAGATCATCTATCTGTTATGACAGATCGATTTTCACAGTGGGTTCATTCTTTTTTTCATTTCTCAATTCATTTTTGCTAACAAAAATATAATTCCTATCTGCTTCTCTTTTCACCAATATCATGTGTTTTTCTAATTTACCAAGAAAAAGACAAAACCATTTCTCAATTTGCATGCCAGATTTTCAATAGATAAAAAAAGTAAACTCTTGGTGCATCATTCCAATTTGTAGGGGTGAAGCAACCCAGGTGGCACTTTCACCTTCATATTACCAGGGAAAATGTTTTCCATTCTCTCTTTCTAACTCTCTATCTTCCAGTTTATATTTCTTTTGGGGCTTAACCCTTTTTCTGCTTAGAATTAATGTTTAAACACCTCACAGCCTCTTAAAGAATCTAACTTATATCTATCTAATACAAAGAATACATTCTTAAAGAGGTCAGCAATAAATTAGAATCTTGTGACACCCCACTGCATGGGTTGACCACACAAAGATGGAACTTCCACTCAACAGACACACATACACAATTATGAATACACGTTACCATCCAATGCTCAAATAGACATACAAGAATTTTCTATATACACATACTTATCTACGATTTTAAGACACGTGACATGTGTCTGACCAATGAGAACTGATCCAAACATAATTAAAAATACCAGTGTTTCTGTCTTTTTGTCTGTTTTCTCTCAGTCTCTGATGAAGCTTTGATAAAAGTGAAACATGTCAGATTGTTCTATTTGTTCTTTTATCTTATCATCCTGTCCAATTCCAATCCAAATTTGATTTGCATTTGATCTTTAACACACACACACACACACATAAGCAAAAGTTTGTCACTTAGTTGATTGATATATATATATATATATATATATATATATATATATATATATATATATATATATATATATATGAAATAACACTGACATCTCATTTTAACAGATATATTTATCAAAATTACACAAAAATATCTTGAAATACTAAAGAGTAAATTTATTCAATAAAATCGCCGCCATTAGCTTCAACCACACCCTCTAGACAACGTTTGAATCTCCTGCACTCTCTTGGACTGTCTCCTTGTTTAAGTTGGTGAATGCTGCCATAATCTTTGTATTCAGTTCATTTTTGGTGTTACAAGGAGTTTTTTTTTTGTCTCTCACTCAACTGTTCCCCACACATAATAATCAAGGGGGTTGCACTCTGGGGTGTTAGTTGGCCAAATATAATGGGTGATATGATTGCAGAAATTGTCTGACAGCAATGACTGGGTTTTCCTGCTTGTGTGGCATGATGCAGAGTTCTTTAGCCTAACATAGGGTCTTCCAGCAACTACCTTCTTGACTCATTGCAGCACTACCTCCACAAGGCACTTGATGAAAGCTTCACCAATAAATTTGAGAGTTATTTTCTTATCAGAATGATCAGAGTGAGTTTTCCAAGCTGGCATACCTTCATAATCACTATTAAACTCCACCAACTCTTTTCAAATCCTCTGAAATGTTCATAAAAAACAATTTCCAGCACATCATGGTGCTCTTTTTCTTACAGATGGTACCCAACTGACCCTACTATACTGTGCAGTCTATAAAATAAAAAACAAACATGCATGCGCAAAATTAAAAATATAAAATGGCGACAGTTTACCCATTGCATCCTCTCTGTGTATGTGGATATATATATATAGTCGTAGTGGACTTGTCATCAAGTAAAACTTCTTTTTACATATTATATTCTGTCTAGAAATGTTGCCATGGATACAATGAATCATTGAAAGTACCACTCATGAATAAACCAGAACTAAATGATAATGATGAACCATTAACATTGTTGGCCATCATTGACAGTCGCCTTATAAATGCTAGCCAATCTGAATCTGACAGCCTATGTTGGCTTCTCTTTTTAATTTGTCAAGTAAAATGCCTTAAATCTCAGTGAGAATTTACGATTATTAGTTAACATTTGGAATTGAGTCCTGTTATAATCGAGTATAAAATATCCAATGTCTAACCAAAGAGAAACTGGTAAGAGTAAATAGGTTGAGTTCTGTGTTAATAGCCTCAATTTACCTATTGGTTTTTCCACTGATAGCTGAAATGTTTCAAATGCCATTCATAAACTGCAGGTAGCTAAAGGAGAAATCTGAATTAAGATTTTTATTTCTTGCTCTTCATATTCTGAACATAATGTAAATAAATATTCAAATATGCATCAATTAATCAGTATTTATCAAATAATTTATTACAAATACATTCATCTTTGGTTTCAAAATTCTAATAGGCAAGTATTTTTTTTTTTTCCTCATTCTCTCATACCAGGTGAGAAACCATATCACTGTAACTATCCCGGATGCAATCGATCTTTTTGCCAAAGTGGACAGCTACGGACTCACTTAAGACGACATACTGGGGAGAAACCTTTTCAATGTCCAATTCAAGGTAAAAAAAAACAAAAAAACAATTGTGTTTGTTATTTGTTTCTTCTTGCAGATTCCTTTCGGAATAAGAAAAGCCACAACTGCACCAAGGAATGCTAGAAATAAGCGTGGCATACACTTCTGGAATTAAATATCACTTCCCTTCATGGGGGGGGGCTACTGAAATACAAACTGTCTTGCTTAAGATTAAGTTTTAAATAATTAAAATACTTTATAGTTTCAAGAATATTCATTTTGCTATCATCAGTCTAAAAGTAACATTTCAACTTTCAACCCATTAATTCAGTTTTTCAAAAGTTTGCTTTATGTTACTTTGCTTTTATAAAAAACAGGTATATTGGTACAGGTATCTTATATATTAATATCCTACATTAGTATAGGTATCCTATATTAGTATACTATATTGGTATCCTCTATTTTTACATGTATCCTATATTAGTACAAGTATCCTGTATTAGTATAAATATTTAATATTATTACAGGTATCCTCTATTATTATCCTGTATTATTACAGGTATCCTGTATGGGTATAGGTATGCTTTATTAGTGCTAAAATCTTGTATTAGTACAGGTATCCTATATTAGTATAAGCATTTTATACTAGTATCCTATATTAGTATACTGTATTAGTAATAGTATCCTATATTGGTATCCTGTATTAGTGCAGGTGTCTCAGGCTATCTGAAATATAAAATGAAGAAACAGTACCTGGAGGTAGATAATATCTGAATATTTTCAAACACTAAAAATTACTTAATGTCTGTTTTCTCAATATCAAAGTTCAGGGTTTGATATTCTCTATTCTCTGTGGCTGATGTGGAAGGCATGAAATATGGCAGAATGTAAGTCCTAGTATTCTGCAATTATTCTGGCTCTTGGTCATAATAAAAATTTCATACTATGTTATTTTGAGGTTTGGGAACTTTCAAATCTTTTCCCCATCTAAATGAATGCTAATTGTTTGTTTGTGTTATACCATTTCATAGGAATGCTATTTTTAGATTGCAGGGGAAACCCATATGGAAAATTAAAAATACAAATTTCTTTAATTCAAAAATATTTCCCATGAATCCCATTTATGTAAACAGTTGTATGACTAACAATTAGACTTGGCCAAAATAGTGTCACAGTTGTAGAACTCCATTGCTTGTCTCCTTGGTCATGTTGTTGATAAACATGCTTTCAATGTGGACATGAGACTAGTTGAATAGAAACATAAAATATGAGAGAGCAAAGGGTGCCAAGAATGGCTTCTGCAACTTTTATATCTTCAGCACCAATTATTGACATTCACTGTTGTTACTTTTTGTCTCTTGCAGGATGCAACAGTAGATTTGCGCATGCTAATCGACATTGCTCCGAACATCCATATGTATCACTGGAAAGGATCTTCCCAACGGATCAACCTAAACATTCCAATTGCAAACCTGAAACAACGTTAGTCCATCCACAATTTAATCATTTTCACTTAATAATTTCTTTCAAGAGTTGTTTTCAGTTTCCTTTTTTTCTTTCTTCACTTTCATGCTTTTTTTTTTTTTTTTAAATTAATTTGCAGAATTTTGAAACAAAGTAATTTCAGCCAAGACTTGAACTCATATCTCATACCTGTTAATCTATGTGAGCTATCTCCCCTGAAAACTCTCCCTGCCGGGAAAAGGACTTCCGGTCGGAAGTCGGGGCGGCGGCCATGTTTGTTTATACTGTGTAGTGAGTGAGGAGTCGAATAAAATATTCTCTCCGTATCCGTTGTCGAAGTCCGTCATTCACACGTTTATATTTTTCTTTATGCACCTTGACAGTCCTTTATTTTTATACTAACATTGGTAGCAGAGCGTAGTTATGGCTTCAAAGCACATTTCACCGCCCGTCTTAGTTAAAGACAAGTACAGCACGTGGAAAAAAGAAATGCAAATCTGGGAAATGGCCACGTCGCTTGACAAAACAAAACGCGCGCCCCCATAGTATTTCTTTCACTGGAAGGAAAACCCAGAGAAGCTGTATTGGAATTGGATGTTGCGGCATAATTCTGAGGATGGAATGGCTAAACTGTATGAAAAATTGGACACGCTTTTTTGGAAGATATAAACCAGTCGGCCTTTTCTGGCCTACGAGACTTTCGAAGGATACGGAGACAGCCTGAAACATCAGTGGAAGACTTTCTCATCAACTTCGGCCGACCGTTGCTAAGTTGAAAGATTTCAACATCATCCTGCCTGAACCGGTACTTGCATTCAGGGCATTAAAGAGTGCTTCCTCAACCCTGAAAATGAAAGACTAGTCAAAGGCGACTGTCGGCGAACTGACACTCTCTTCCATGTCGGCACAATTAAAGAAGATTATGCATAGACAGCCGTCTGAAGCTTCATCTATGAACTCTACACCCGTAGTGGTCAAGAAGGAAGATGTTATTGCCTTTACTGAAAATAAAAAACGAACCTAGCGAGGTATACTATGGTCGCTCTCTTCCCACCGCCGTGATTACGCATTTTAATAGTCGGCGAGGGAAAACATACCCATGGAAAAGCGACATAGCAACAACAACAACAAAACCGCTCCACTGACAAAAACAAAATAAACCCGCTAGGACCCGAAGGCAACCCCACTGTGTGCTTTAAATGTGGCTGCAACTTTCACTGGTCTTACGACTGCCCTTATGTCAGCGATACCGGGACAAACATGAGGGCGACGAACACGAAAGTTATCTGTATCTGGCTAACATTGTGCTGATGAGTCAGCAAAAACGCGAGGCAAATGGCAACACGCTTTTGGGTGAGACACTTGGTTCCGCTGTCCTAGATAGTGGTGCATCTGGCACCGTTTGTGGAAAAAAATGGTATGAATGTTTTCTCGAAACATTAACTGATGCACAGAAAAAAAAAAATAATTATGAGGAAAGGTAGAGAACTTTTAAGTTCGGGGATGGAAACAAGCTGGACTCTCTCTACAATGTGACTCTACCATGTGTCATCATGAGACATTGACGTCAATATTGTTACCCGATGTTGTGGATTCTGACATTCCACTTCTCTTAAGCAAAGATGCAATGAAAAGAGCTGGAACCTGTCTCAATTTTGAACATGACAGTGTGACGATGTTTAAAAAGAAAATTCCATTGAGATGCACATCGTCTGGTCATTATCATCCCTATCACCAGACCCCTACCAGATAGAGGTAAAAACTCAAACACATTCTTCTTGTTAAAAAGAAATCTCCTCTAAAACAAATCAGAAAAAGTGAAAGTTGCAAACCAAATTACATAGACAATTTAGTCATCCCAGTAGTAAGAAATTATGTGATTTAGTTAGAAATGCTGGAATAAGAGATCCTGAATTTATGAAAATCTTACAAGCACTTCCAAATTCCTGTGAAGTGTGTATTCACTATAAAAAAAAACGAACCTAGACCTATTGTTGGATTCCCATTAGGATCTTATTTTAATGAAACTGTTGCTATGGATATTAAAGAGATTAATGGTAACAAGGTACTGCACTTGATTGACCATGCTACCAGATACAGTGTCGGCGTTAGGATTCCAAGTAAAGAAAGATCGGACATCATCAGTGCTATGTTTAAACACTGGATAAGCGTATTTTGGGACTCCTGGATCTATCTTAACTGATAATGGTAGGGAATTTGATAACGAATCATTCCGTGACATGGCACAGAATTTAAATATCGTTGTCGTACCACTGCTGCTGAAAGTCCATGGAGTAATGGCTTAAATGAACGACACAATGGGATATTGGGAGAAATGGTCAAAAAAAGACTGTAGAGGACACAAATTGTAGTTTTGAGATAGCACTAGCATGGGCTATAAGTGCAAAGAATACACTTCACAGTGCTCACGGATTCAGCCCCAATCAGCTTGTTTTTGGTAGGAATCCCAATCTGCCCTCCTTTTTGAATGATAAACTCCCTGCATTAGAAGGTGTCTCTACCAGTGAGATAGTTGCCAGTAACCTCAATGCCATGCATGCAGCTAGAAAACAATTTATTATGTGTGAGTCTTGGAAAAATTAAGGCGTGCACTTCGTCATCAAGTTAGGACTAGTACAACACAATCCTACAAAATGGTGATGTTGTTTTCTATAAGAGAAATTTCTGTGATAGATGGCTCGGTCCAGGAACTGTCATAGGGTGGGAGCACAAGCAGGTACTTGTTAAACATGGGGCACATATGTAAGAGTGCACCCATGTCGCCTCGTCTCACCCAGAAACATATCAAAGTTCCTCTGAAAGTGAGGCTATAAGTGAATCCACCACTTCACAAAGTGAGCCTGAAGGATCTTCAAACTTATCAATGTCTGACGAAAAACGATGTTGCTGAAGAACCAGGAACTCTGAATGATCATGTTGCACAACATCAGACTGTGAGAGAGGCACGTACTACCAAAGCAAAATCCAATTCACAAAACAATTCGCTTCCCAAGCCAGGACAATCCATTAAATGCAAACTTGCCAATGATGATGATTCGAATGGCGAACATTGAACGTCATAAGTAGGGCAGGCAAAGCTACAGGTAAAACAAGCATTTAATGAATGTGGCTATGGAACAAGGTGAACCCTTCTGGCTAGACTTCAATCATGGAGTATTGGAATGGAAAGAAAATAAAGCCAGACCAATAAATAAGGATGAAGCTACCTCTAGTGATGAAGAAAACATTATGATTTCTTCTTCTAATCACGACCTGGAAATGGCAAGAAAACGAACTCCAAAGCTGGGTTGAAAATAAAGTTTACACCCAGAGTGCCTGACCAAGGCCAATGCAAAATATCCACAAGATGGGTTTATACTAATAAAAATGTCAATGGCAAACAGATCTATAAAGCTAGACTTGTGGCGAGAGGCTTTCAGGAAAGGGATGCGGGCAATATAAGAAATGATTCTCCAACATGCTCTAAAAGAAAGTCTACGTATAGCCTTGGCTATAATGGCATCTAACCATTGGGTGTGCAAGTCAATGGACATAAAAACAACATTTTACAGAGCAAAGAGTTGGACGATTGATCTATTTGCATCCTCCCAAAGAAGCCAAGGTACCTCCAGGATATATTTGGAAACTCTCCAAATGTGTATATGGTTTTGACTGATGCATCAAGGTCCTGGTACCTGACACTCAAAGAGGAATTGTTGAAGTCAGGAGCAGTGGTTTCAAAATATGATCAAGCCATATTTACATGGAACTTTGAAACAAACTGCATGGTATTATAGCTACTCATGTTGATGATTTTTTTGCTTTTGCAGGCTCGGAGATTTTTTCAGAGCAGAGTCATGGACAGGATTCGTCACTTGTTTAGGATCAAATCTGAGGAAGTTGCTGAGTTCAGTATATAGGATTAAGCATAAAAAAACTGGGAATGATGTTAAACTTGGACAGGACGAATATGTCAAAAAGCTAAGGTGTATCCCACTAGAACCAGGCAGAAATTTGAAAGATGCAATATCTTCAACAGAGGTTACTGAAACCAGGCAACTGATCGGACAACAATTGGTTAGCCACCCAAACCAGACCCGATCTTAGTTATGATGTCAGTGAGTTAAGCTCGATACTAAAACAAGAAAATGTAGAATGTTTAAAACAGGCTAACAGGGTGGTAAAAAAAAAGCAAAAAAAGGAGAAATCTCATATAGATATTCCAGACTTAGGGAACCTTGAGCACCTAAAATTATTGCATACAGTGATGCTTCTTTTGGCAATTTAACAGATGGAGGTTCACAGGGAGGCTATATACTTTTTTAGTTGGAAGCAATGACAAGTATATGCCCATTGCCTGGCAGTCTAAGCGTATTAGAAGAGTTGTCAAAAGTACTTTAGCTGCTGAAACTTTAGCCATGGTTGACATGGCAGAAGCCTGTATTTTTTGCTCGAAAACTTTTGTTAGAAATACTACAATTGAACGATGATACTAACAACATTAAGATCTTCTGCAAAACAGACAATTCCTGTCTCTATGATTCTGTACATTCCTCAACCCAAATTTTGGATAAGAGACTTCGCATAGAGATGGCTATTTTGAGAGAAATGATTGACAGAAAGGAAATTGCAGAGATCTCTTGGATATCAACTGATGTACAAATTGCCGACTCCTTGACAAAAGAAAGGAGTGCCATCATTCAAGATCCTTGGGTTCATATCCAACCAAAGGAATCATCTGTATAATGTAAATACCCGGCCCCTTTTTTCTTTTTGCAGATTAGATGATTCCAAACTGAAAAGAGAAAAGAGGGAAGAACTGTTAATCTATGTGAGCTATCTCCCTGAAAACTCTCCCTGCGGGAAAAGGACTTCCGGTCGGAAGTCGGGCGGCAACCCATGTTTGTTTATACTGTGTAGTGAGTGAGGAGTCGAATAAAATATTCTCTCCGT